AAAATTTAAATATTAAGGGTAACTGCCTTCCCACATCTGGCTGCAGACAGTGAAAGGCAGAAGGAGTTGATATGTTTTAGGTTGAAGCACTCAACTTCTAACCCTTAATTAATTGATTTTTCTAAGTTGATGGCTTGTTTGATATCGGTGTCTCTGGATCTTGTCTGATAGATGGAATATTCACAACACTTTTGGGTGCTATGGCTACTGATATTATCCTTTATGAGTTTTAATGACAACAAGGACTGGTAATGGAAAAATTAGTTTTGACTGTTGAATCTCTTTGTAATATTTTTGATTTATTTTAATTTAGTCATTATTGTTTTTATAGTGCTGATTAAAAAAATCGCCTATTTGCAATTAATCTATTAGATAGCTTTAGAACTATTGATTTATATGTATATATATATATGTATATATATCATTATCATAGTAAATACTTAATAACGTCAGTATCATAATAACTGAAAAGAAATGTCGCTATTATAACATATACTTAAAAACGCCAGAATAATTATAATAATGACATAGACATACCACTATCGTAATAAACATAGAAATATCGCTACCATAAGCATATAAAACACGCTATTATAAAACATAATAACCATATAAAAACACCAATATCCTAATAACCACAATCAAACACCCTTTATCATTATAACTACATAAAAATACCACAATACTATTCCGCTAGATAAACACATCACTATCATGATAACAACTTAGAAACATCACTCTCATAGTAACCATATAAAAACATCGCTATCATAATAGCCGCATAGAAACATTAATATTGTAATAATCACTATCGTAATAACACATAAATTAATATCAATAATAGCTGCATATACAACACAATAGCACAGTGAAACACTGATATTATATTAAAAATACAGAAACACTAACATAATAAAAACCACAAAGAAACATCAATAACTCATTAACCACAAAGGAACACTATTATTATAATAAAAATATAGAACAGCTAACATCAAGACAACAACGTAGAAACATCGGCATTATAATAACTTATAGAAGTAAATATATATGAAAAAATTATGATATAAAGAAAGAGAGCAATAGCAATGACAGTGAGTTTCATTTGTAAACAGATAGATAAGTATGAGACTTGATACCCCTTATAAGCTGTGCATTCTTTAATTTTTTTTGGTCCTGTTACTTCTCATACGTTAGTGTATGTCCAGATGTTAAGCAAGGCTATAAATACACAAAGACATCACTATTTTTTAGAGAATTTAAGATGTATTTTCTCATGTTAGATTTGCGATGAAAGTTTTATATTCATAGTTAGTTTATTCAAGTAAATTCAAAGCTTAGATTTTAACAAAAATATAACAATATAAGCAATGTTTTGGCTATTAGATTTCCAACTTCAGTCCAAACAATATTTTTTATACAAGTCATTTATATCGTCATTTAATTTGTTGGTATGCTACTGTGCGACATAATTATTTAGTCATTAATTATTCATCACGTTTTATGGGCTGAAATATCTATAACTTATAATCTAAATTGTTAAGAAACTTTATCAATTTCATCGACGT